TTTAACTGTCATTGTCAGAGGTTTGAGAGAGGAGAGTTCTACACTGTTTCTGTCTAAGTTAGGCCTGTTGTTCTTCAAGTTGTTGTCTACTTACCATTCTCAATAGACATGGAGAATTATTGCATGTCAGCTATCTTCTGACATTCTATGTTTGATTCACCTCTCTATCTTCATTCTCCTCATTTCCTGACTAAACAAACAAGATACTTTCGTGTGTGTGAGACATAGCTTGTATCAAAAGCTATGATTTTAAAACCATCTGACTGTTTTCTTGTTCTAAAACTTTGCAATTTGCTGTATTTTTCTTGAAGTGCAGTGGTAAAACTGGATTCACTGCCCAACAGCAAGGAATAAAGGAAAACAATGAAGTTTCACGTCTTACGCTAATGTGTCCCAGAATTATATTTCTTTTCCTTTTGAAATAATAGGGTTATTGTTCAAGTTTTAATCTCACAGATTCTTGAGATGCTTAATATGCTAGTGCTAATTTTCCATTTGCATTGCTGTCATGCTTTGAACATTTTTCCTGAGTTTCATCATCATTAGACGACCTCTAGACTAATTACAAAGATAATTGCAAATGACAGTTGTTACCTGCAAACAAATTGCAAGCTCTGCAAGTTCAGTGTCATCAGCCAATTTGAGAAATGTGCTTTTTATTTCACTATTCCAGTTGTTAAGGTTGAAATACTGAGTACTGACCTTAGTATACATACACCTTTGAAAAACCTCATTGGTCTATAGTCTTCCAGTTTGATAGAAAAAAAATCATTGCTACCCTCTGAATAGCTTTTTCAGACAGTTATGCAGCCATAAAATAGAAATTTCAGCAAGATTCTGTTTCCCTGATTTACTAGGGAACTTACTGCGGCTCCTGAAGGCGTACTCAGAAGCCATAAACTGAAGTGTATCAAAGCTAATTCTTTTTGCCTATCTGTATGACCTTCAACCTGACAGAGAGGGAAATTACTGAGGTTTGATAGGATTCAATTTTCATTTCCTTATTATCCTACCTTGTTTTGAAATGGACTGTAATATTTCTGTCTTATGTTTAGTATGGACATTGAACTTACTGACTTGTAATTCTCTTGGTACTCCTTCCCCTTTTAAAAATGGTGTGTCTGCTTAGGGGTTTTTGTTTTCAGAGATAACTGATAATGCTTCAGAAAATGCTTTCACTTGATACTGGAAATCCACTCCAGAGCACTTATCCTATCCCCCTCTATTCATGTACTGTTCTGAGTTTCTTGGGTAAACTGTCTATTTTACTGGTACAGCTTATTGAGTGCCAGGCATTAGCAGGCCTTTCTCTGCTAAGATTCTTTTTATCATTCAAGTGTGAAATTTGTAGGAACGTGGAAAAAAAAAAATGTATTTCTTAATGTATCACTTGGAATTTTCACGGTAGGATGCATGTCTCCATTAAAAGCTGGTACAAGTCTTCTTCAAGGTGATGCCAATTTTGAAATTTGCTGCCTTCAAGTTGGATGGATTTTTTTTGGGGGGGGGGGGGGGGGGGGGGCCTTATCCAAAAAGTGACAAAATTTGGTTCCATGGCGGTGCTGGTCTGGGTGGGGTAAGAGGCTGGAAGGTGAAGGGTAACACTGTGAGGAGGGAGACAGATGCCACCTTTCCACTAGCCTTCCAGCAGCTGGTCCAGCCTTCCTGAGGGACATCACCTTCTGATCCCCTCTTCCCACCTTCTCCTGTCCATTTTCCTTCCATATCTTCCTTTACATTTACTGTCCCCAAATTTCTTGACTGTCTGAAGCATCTCTTTCTTGAAGAGACTTTATCCCTTCCTCTTAGCATTCTCTTGCCTCCCTGTACATGGGATAATTTTCCTAACTTCCCCAAAACAGTGGAGGAGACTTTGTTTGTTACTTGTGACTGAGAACATCCCCAGCCAAATGCTGAGGGAATTATTCTGCTTGGTGACTGAGAAGATCTCCAGCTAATGGTTGAATATTTCTGGGGTGACGGATGTTGTTCTCTGGCTCTTTGTGACATTAGGCTGTGATTTCATGTGAAAATGCAGTTCTTTTTACAAGAACTTCACCATTTTCCCATTTTAAATTTACTTTCAGTAACAGAATATGAAATGTTTTAGGAATTTAGACAGAAATGTTTCCAATTATTGTCTTCTCCATCTATTCACTTAATTCCTTTCTGGCTTTGGACAGCATATGTGTATTGTTTCAGTTTAACTAATGCTAAAAATTACCATTGAAAACACTTGCTGAAGAATGAATTTTCTCTAACCATGTTGTAGAAACATAGTACCAAACAATATCCAACAAGATTTTTTATCTCCATACGATTCTTGTTTAACATTTTGGTGCTGGTAATTAAATTACTAGTTGTGTGTTGGAAAGAAGTTTACCCCTTACATGCTGGTGTGATTTTTTTTCCATCTGTCATCTGTGAGTTTGGCAATTTACCTGATTCGATTCCATATTTTGCATAAGTCATTCCCATGTAATGGGCTGAGCGCTATTTAGCTGATGAAGTTAAAAAAAACATCCTAATTTTGAATTAGTATGAGCATCTTAAACCATAATGTGTGACTTCACTGGAGAAATGGGGTGTGCTACAAGTTTCATATACTGATAGCAATGTTGATTTCTTCATAACTGTGTAAAAACAGCTGATCTCCAGTAGAAACCACCATTGTTGGGCATTTCCAGCAATAGAGCCATCAGAACATTACTGAAGAGTGTGAAATATTAGTGCAGACTGGAAAAAAATTTCCTGTGCCATTCCAGAAGATGCGAGCGATACATCCTGAAAGTGCAATCGTAACTTGTAGACTGGTATGAGGAATAGCTTAGCCCTGTGAATGCAAACTGCTAAAAGGTTGCTATTCCGCTGTCAAACCCTGCTGCTGAAAACTGCTTTACAGGGATGATTTTTCTTTTTGCCAATGTAACCTAGACTTTGTGAATGGCTCTTCTTTCAGAAACAACATTTACATGGTGCCTTCCAGGTATGCATTCACAGAGATATGAAGAATAAACATGAAATTATGCATTGTGTATTGAAAAGCTGTAACAAGGAATTAGTTAATAAATAATATAGGAAATTAATAATTAACTGCCTTGTCTTACATCTTTCGGATCTTTATCCATCTGGTACTTTATAGGGACCTAGTTTAACTTCCATCCCCACTTATCTAGTCATGCTTTCTCTTTCATGTTTCCTCTCACGTTGGTTTATTGCCCTTGCTCGTCAGTTTTGTCTTTGAGTGTATGGTGTTTACAGCCGCCACTACACAATCCTGAGCCCTAATTTAACTAATGCACGAATAAAGCATAGTTTCAACTTTGTCCTTAAATTCACCATTTAATCGGTGACGTGATTTAGAAGGGACAGCATAGTAAGTAATGTGCCAGACCTCTAGTTTCAAAGACACAATGTCATTTTCTTCACTAATAGCAGTGATTCCAGATAAATTCCTAAATACTGATGATTTCAGGAATGCTCATGAATTTTCCTGTATTGTTTTGCAGGGGATTTCCCAAGAAAACAGGCAGGACTGCTAGGATAGCATCAGATGAAGAGATTCAAGGGTCAAAAGATGCTGTAATTCAGGACCTGGAAAGAAAACTTCGCTTCAAGGAAGACCTTTTGAACAATGGGCAACCGGTATAAAAACATAAAATAGCCCGGGGAACAGGAGTGGGCATCATGGGTAGTTTCTCAGATATACTGTGTATAAAATAATTGTTGTAGATTATTTTTATATTTTATGTATTTATTATTTTTAATTGCATTTCCAAAACTGCATTTCCATAAGGAATGATAGTGTACATTTTGGCTTATTGTTCCTTCTCCTGTTGGACAATTTGGACTTAACAAAGCAATGGAGGTCTCAAAGATGATGAATTCACATAAAAAGCCTGCACAGTCTGTACCTCAAGGGCTTTTTCAGCTTCAGAGGCCATCTGGTTTTGACTGTTCATCACTGGGTGGCTTGCTAGTAAGCATATGCATAGCTCTTCATCAGTCCAGGCTCATCCTACCTTTTGCCCTGTTGGACAACAGGGGGAAAGAGTAGGTGGTAAGTGGACATCAGAGGGGGACAAGGCAGTTCATCATGAGAAACAACCCATTAGGAGTCAGTCATTATTAGATGCTGCAGCTGTGGGACTTTCTTGACCAATAGAATAAAAACCAACCTATAGTACTAATTTACAGACTTTATGAAGAATTAACAATCTGCTTGAGGAGTCAAGAAATGAGGTAAAATGGGCAATTATATCAAACAACTGAAATGCAGAACTGCAAAGTTCTCCACTAATTTTTGTGCATTTTAAGATATGCATAAACAATAAAATACCAAATTCTTCCTGCTCAGAGTTGATGAGAAGCAACTCTACTAAGACTTGATTACAGTTATTAAGGCATTGATTTAAATGTCTTTGAAGCAGAAATCTCTTTTAAGAGGAAAGTAATTTTAAAAATGCAGACTGTCACCCCTGTTTTGTCAATGAAATGTTTTCAAGCATCTGAATGCCTTGGGATACCTTTGTGTCACTGAAAGGTAGTGTGCTTTAGGTTTCTCAGGACCATGCTCAGAAGCCTGCTATGTTTGCTACTGTGTCTGAGATGTGGACTGTGGTTTGTAGTTCGTGACAGCCTATTGAGTCAGACTACCTACTCCACAGCTGCCAGATTCTGGTTCTTAATAAGGTCAATGGAGTGAAGTAGGGAAAATGTTCAGAGCAACTAGTGCTGCTGTACTTACCTTTCTCCATTGACTGCACAGGGTTTGGCAGTTTTCTGTAGCACTTAAGCAGAATCACTCTCATAGTGTATAAGTTCCTGTTTTTTCAAAGAGGTGGGCTAGGCATGACTCTCAATGCCTATTTTGGAAAGCGAGAGAGATGTTTGGCCTGGACAAATGAATGGAATGTCCTGAGAAAGCCCACATGGCCCGAAGGGAGGTCGGGGGGTGGGGGGGAACCAAACCCAAAACTGTGATCAGATGATGTGGGAGGTTGAACCAAGTAATCTCTGGTTTTGCGCTTGCCTTGAGGCTTTTGCCTTGCAGATTCCTGTCTTGGGTGATTCTGTTTGTGTAATCATGGCTGTGGGCACTTGGAGTGATCACAGAAGAAACTGAAGTGAAGAAAAGTTCATGACTTGCTTAGACATTTGTAATGAAGCCAAGATCAGTACCTAGTTTTCATGAGTCTCAGCCTGCTGGTTTAGCTAGAATATGACATCTTTTAACAATTGCTTTAAATGAGCTTTTTTAAAAATGGAAGCATTAAGTAGATGTAATGTTTTACAATTTCCATTCTTTCATTTTTCTGGTTTAAATGCGGCATTTCACCATGTAATGAGTTTGCCTTTCATTCACTGGCATTTTTTTTTTGCAATGTTGATTTGTTAGAAAGTGTCTAAGTGCCTGAAATGTGTTATTGAATGTAGAAGGAAAAATAATGAAATAATTGAATTGTACACTTAAAGCAAGTTAAAAGAAAACCTTAATTTCTGAGTGTAAATTATCCTGTATAAACTGTCTCCTTAATTCCCTAAAGAGTAAGAAGAAATAGAAATCAAAAACCTTAAAGAATATATTTTTCTATAAAGCTGTCGTATTTTTGACAAAATAATCGAGTAGTATCTCCTTAGCCTTTTTGGCAGTTTTCTGACATGTGGTTCTAATGTAAAAATTAAGCAGAATGACTAGGAGTAAGATTTGGGATGATTTGACATGCACGTTTTTGATGGCCATGCTGATTTAAGCAGTTCCTATTGCTCATTCCTGCCCAAGTTCCTGGCAAGAGGATGGAAACAAATGGCAGAGTCAGGGCAAGGGTTGCTTAAGCCGGAAGAGCCACTTGTAATGCAAAAAAAATGCATTACAAACTGTGGTAGAAAATTTCTGTTAGAAACATGTTGCTGCTCTTTTATTAACATTGCTTAAAGCATTGCTTACTGTCTAACTGCCTTGTAGTTCTTAAGGAGAAATACGAACTTTTCTTTATTTCTTTTCCCTCCCCCTCAACCCACCCCTTTATTTTTTGTTCAGAGATTAACATACGAGGAGAAAATGGCTCGTCGATTGCTGGGAGCAGACAGTGCTGCAACTGTCTTCAATATACAGGAACCAGAAGAGGAGCCTGCTATACAGGTGCCACATAACTCTACAATTTCATAGGAACATAAAAAAATTCTTTCAATTTTTCTTTTTTACAGGCTGTGATTGTCTTAAAGTCCTACATAGGACAATAAATATACACAAGACAGGACGGTTTTGATTACAGAAGTCATATGTTATATATCAGTGAAGTAAACCGGAGGATCACATGCCTATTGCTCGGGTTTTCCATACTGAATAAGGTTGAGAGTTCTCAAATGCCTGTTCTCTGCTTTAAACTCTTCCATTTATCCTATTCTGTCCTGACCTTTAAGCCTCTCAAGGCAAAAATACATCTACTATCTTGAAACCATCTTCTCTGTATGTGCATAATCTGCACTTTTTGGATGCAGACCAAAACACAACAGAAAGCCTGCTTGAAAGGCCAGGTACACGTTCTCCATTGTTCAGATGCCAGTGTTGCTATTCGGAAATGTGCAGCACTCGTTTGCTTATGTTACCACATAAAGTATGCTCTCTTGATTAAAAAATCTGAGAAACTGTCATGGATGCCTCTTGGTCTTCTTTCTGCCTCTTGATCTTTTTTTCTACCCTTGCAGGAAGCTCGCTCTGTTGGTGCTTCTGTAGTGAGTCCTGTGGATATTCAAAAGGTTAATGTTTTCACCTTTTTCTGTCTTGCTTTTTTTGTCCATTGATTTTTTTTTTTCTCTGTCATCTTTGCCCTTTCCCTTCTACTGTTCTTGGTTAATAACAAGAGGTCACCTAGCATTAATAACTGGGAAGATTTGGGCTGCACTCCCTTCAAGGTGTTAAAGTTGTTCTATAAGCCTAGTTGTCTGAGTGCAGGCAGCTTAACTGCAGTAACGGCGTGCTCCGGTACCTTTCTGCCTTAACATTAACATACATCAATACTAACTGCCTTGCATCTGAATCAGCTGCTCTTTATACATACCATGTGTACTTCATGTTTACTTTCATGATAAACTTTCAGGGAACAAAGAAATTTAAAAAATATTTGCTGTTTACAAAGGTATTTCTCTCTTCTTCCATTTTTTACCGTTATTAAGGGTTATGGTTAGTTCTATAACCAGTCAGTAGAAAGACTACATGTCAGTCCCAAACCAGAGGCAATGAGAAGAGGATGGGCATGTGAAAGGAAGCTTTGTACGAGATGTGGGTTCTACTTTAAATAAAGTAAGGGTCAGAGACAATGGCCAAAGGTCATTTGAAAGAGTGCCTGAATTTCTGCTGACTGAGAAGAGCATTGGCTAATAAAGATTTTTTTTTTCTCCCTCCCCCCCCCGCCCTCCCCCGAGCTTTCGTACATTCTGGCATTATCTTTGTTATCACTAAGATTCAAAGTAGGACTTTTGTACTGCAAAGTAGATAGAATGAACAGTTCAAGAAAGTAAGTAACTGTATGTCACAGTAACATTTCCTAGTATCTGAATAGCAAATTTAAACAAGCAGTAGTGTTTTACTTTGGATGAAAATTTCCACTCTTCTTTCTATATCTTGAATACTCTTATGACAAATTTTGTTTTTAAGGAAGAAGTGGTACTTCTGGCGAGACAGAGGGGACCATGGCAACAGGAGTAAAGGGAGGCAACTATCATGGGCTGCCAGTGTTGCCATTTTCTCTCTTTGTGGTTACCTCCCAAAAAAAAACCCCCCCCGTTTTTACAGGCAACTGTAAACAAAATCATTTTAGCCATCTGGTGCAGCCTCTGGTACGGTTCTATGCAAATAGCAGATGTGAACCATATGGTCTTCTGGCCATCTGGAAACAAAACCCACTCTAAATCTGCCTGTACCCTCAAGGAAATATTAGTGTGTTTCTTTTGTCTTTATGAACTGCTTCAGAATACTTTTATTCTTATAGGCTTTTTTAAAAAATTGAAAGAAAGCAACCAATGACTTTCCTTCCCCTTATAAATTAGGCCTTAAGATAACATGAAATACAATTTTTGCCTCATACCAGATGTCTTCATTGTTTCATAGGGAAGTTATTGGAGGTATGGATTATAGTGTTTTTCTTCAACAAGATACAGTTTCCTTTTATATGTAAAACCTTAATGGATTGTCAAAGATCGGTAGCATGAAAAAAAAAAAAACCCATTAGGAGCACATCTTGCTGAGCAATGTATTGAAGCTGGACACTAATACGTACCTTTCTTGTTTGACAGGAGTATAAAGTCTCCAGCTTTGAGCAAAGATTAATCAGTGAAATTGAATACAGGCTGGAGAGATCTCCTGTGGAAGAATCAGATGATGAGGTGCAACATGGAGATGAACCTACTGATAATAGTATGTCACCATATTTTGAGATAAAGCTGAAGCATTACAAAATCTTTGAGGGCATGCCAGTCACATTTACATGCAGAGTGGCAGGAAATCCAAAGCCAAAGGTAAGAAAAGAAGGTAAACATTTCTAGAAATGCTCTGAAGAATTCTGTATTAGTACCTTGCAGCCAGTCCCTGGAACCCTATGGGCTGTATCTTACAGGAGGAGCGGACATTCTCTCTTCACAAGACTCCTAGCTAGTATAAACCGTCAAATCTCTTTTGACATCACTGGAATTATTTAGATTTATACTAGGCAAAAATCCTACTATGAGGCTTCAGCTCTTAGTTACTCCCTCCTGAGACTTCATCTCAATTATTTTACCAAGAAGTAATACTTCCGCCATTTTCAGAGTTGCCTTCAGGGTACAGCTGTACCACAGAATGCAGCGCAGTGCTAGAAAACCCTATGTGAGCTGGCACAGCAGTCCCAAAAGCAACCTCATCAGGTTAATATGGGTAGTTAGCTCAGACACAGCAACATGCTAATGCAAAAATATGTTGCTTCTGGTTCAGGAGCCAGCATGGTATCTCTGCATTCTTCAGCATTGCAGACTTTATATCCACACACCCTAACAAGACTAGATTTTATTGAAAGTTAGAGGAAGGCATAATAAAAGACCACAAGCTCCCATATATCCCAACAGCAAGATGAGACATGATGGTGAGGTTTTAGTGATGAGCTTCTGAGGGAGGGTTGGGCTTGGGAAGCATTTCCTTTGAGCAAACGTAAAAGTACCAGTTGTGTGATGTCAGTAGCCTGGAAGAATGCCTGCCTTTGGTAGGTTGTGTTTAACCATTTCAAAAATTGCTTGGCGATCAACTGACTCATTATGCAGCAGGCAAAGAGCAGTAGCTTCTTCAGCTTCCTTGCCAAAGCCAGTACCTTCCCCGTAAGGTCCTTGCAGTTCTCACAGTGACCTCTTGTGGATAGAGGCTTTTTTCTTCTTAGACAGGATCAAAGATGCCTTTTCTCTTAGATAAGGTCTTCACAGCAGCAGCCACATCCAAATCTCTCATCTAGTGTAACTTTTACAGGTATTTAGCATCTTGAACAGAGATAAATGCAAATGACTTTACAAGCCCAATGATACAGGTGTACAATACTGCACAAACTGTAAAAAGAAAAACAGACTTTGTCAGGTAGCAGAGAAGGAACAACAGAGATCTAGAGCTATGTCTACATTATCAAGTAGCGCAGCCCAGAAAAAGCAAAGCTGTGGAATGAGATATCCATCCCTGCATGTGTTTCAGGAGGTTTTACTTCAGGCTAGCTCTAATCTCATCCCACAGACTGAAGCAGATGCAGCACATTAGATGTGTTCTTGGAGCACATTTTCTGGCTTAGTTTCATCTGAAAGGAATCCAATTCTGTGCTCCAAGACCACAACATGATGTGAACCACTGCAAAGTAAGTGGGGCTGATCAGATAGTCATATCAAAAAAGCACTCCTGCTTCAAACTGAAGACACACGCTAAGATTAGCCCAGTCTGGCTGAAAGCAAACCTTTGATGCCCAGCATTACTTTCGAGATGACCGTACAGAAGAGCATGTCGTGCCGAATAAGGGTGGAAGACGAATGGGTTCGTTGGTGTTAGAGGTGTAGTGTGCTGGAGAGGTACTCTTTTTGCCTGGGGCTTATGACTAAGTGGCTGGATTACCTATTATGAGTCAGCCTTAGTCAATTTAGCCATTCCCTAATTTTCACAGTTTTCAATTAAGGTATAGTTTCACAGTCATCTTAATCTGATTTAAGACAGATGAAAGAGGACGTCTCCTTTCCCTCACTCTCCTTGTTTTGGCATTAGGGATTGCACTGCCAAGAAACCACATTGTTAGTACTTCCTCTAAAGCACGGCGTTATAAAGGAGTATCTGATCTGAATGCACTCTGATTCAGATACGATGTTCTGTTTTTCTGCAGCGTCAAAGCATGCACATTAAGAAGTGATTTGCTCTTGCACCTGGGACTGTGAGCCTTTATTCTGTTCACTTACAGATGCTTTGTGCGATTTGTTAAGTTGCTTGGGGTGGAACCAATTCCAGCCTCGTTGGACGGCTACTTGTTAGCTGGGCTTTGCAAGTGTGAAAGGCCGTGTCTTCCCCTTATCTGCCGGAGCATGCCAAGATAGCCGCTCGATGGCTGAGGGCTGCCCTTCTGCTGTCATTTGTTGAAGCTGGAAGTGTTGCCCCTGAATAAATTCTTTACTTTGGCAAATGAAAAGCTGGAAATAATTTACTGACTTGAAGCTCCTCCCTTCTAAGTATTCTGTCAGCTCTGCCAAGGAACGGCTTTGGGAAGGACTGTAGTGTTTCTAAAATCTGGCATTCATTACAAGGGATTTTTCTAAGCGGGGTTATTCGCTTGATTATTTTTTCCCCTGAACATGCCATGTAAATTGAATACTGATGTGCAAATTCTGTCTTCATAAATGTGACTTTTTAAATCTGGGTCTACTTTTGTCATAACCTTCAGTGTAATGTAAAACTATTTTCTCATTAAAACGAGAACCTGTGGTGATACAGGAGGGGTTGTGGAATACTTCTTTTTAAGAGATATTGCTCTTCAGAATTAGGACAATGTCATACAAAAGGTTAATTGAGACATGACTGTTGCATAAAGCTTGTACTGCTCGCTCTTCACATGGTCGAATAGAATTCCTAGTGATTAAATATGCCTGTGCTGCCCAAGATCAAAACCCCTTCTGTGCTGTGTATTCCACTGTATTTCCAGTCCTAACACATTGGTTTCTGAAAATCTGGTACAAATAAAAGCAATCCATGTGCAGTGTTCAGTGCTTATGTAGTTTAATGGTACATTTATTAAAATGTATCCTAGAAAGAAAATACTTAACTGCAAGGGCCATTGTCTCCAGCAGTGGTAGTGTTTTACTTACTAACTCCATGTCAGATAAAGGTAATATTAAGAATTTACTCCTCATAAGTGAAACCCAGTGATGATGCCAGTGCTTTTAAACTTAGTGGAAATAAGTATTGGACAACATATGCATGATGTTTGGATAGCTGGTTCAGTTAATATTTGCATAAATTTCCATGTAATAATTCCTGGCATGTCTCCTGATAATTCTGATAAGTGCATTGTTATTAAATAATTACTACTTAATGCAGTAGATTTCCAAGCAACGTTATGACACATGTAAAGCATGCAAGTTAAAACTCATTTTTTGCAGCTATGTTGTTACCAGCATCCATTAGCTTGTGTATATAAGCGATCAAATATCTTTTGCATCTCCAGTAAGTGCTCTGTCAGCAGATGAGAAGACATGACTAAATCTTTTGTTAGCACCACAGAGTCTCTGCAAGGCTGCTGACAGACAAAATGGGAAACAAGTATAACCAGCTATTGAGGAAATGAAATCATTTCTAGTTACACATAATGCTTGTTAATATAAAAACCATGCATGGTAATTAATTTTTAAGGGAAATTTCCACTCATTCCCTCCAAAACATTCTCCATTGTCTTTTTGTGAAATTTAAAAGTATATTCTTAATTTTTCCCCCCTAGAGAGTATGAATTTAGAGCTTTGAAATGTTGGCACGTATGAAGAACCTGGCATATTAAATTCTGTCAGGAATTGTGCTTTGCTTTGTTGCTTCATTTTTACTGGAAAGCCGGCACCCTTTCCTCACTGTAACACCTAAATTCCCACTTCAAGAATGAGACTGAGGAAAATGTATGTGTTTTCCTCATGCTAAATAGTCCCAGCAGTCATGCGACCAGGACGAGTCCATTTGTTCTACTTTGCACAAGTTAACCTCATAAAAATTGTGGAGGTATCTGCACAAATGGCTTAAGAAATGCTGAACACCACTGATCTTATGGAGTAATGCACACTTCAGAAATGACAAGTAAATAATGTTCTACTCAAATATTGGTTTGGGGAGCTGACTACGCCCTTCTTAGTATAAAATTTTTCACATATTCCTGTGTGTGTTCTCATGCATACACCACGTAGTTTTGTTTTGTTTTGTTTTTATTCCAGCAGATTTCAGTTTGGGGCTTTATATTATTTTTAAAATATAGAGAAGAAAAAAAAAAAAACCAACCACCAACTAAAAACCCAAAGCTAGGTCAAAGTGTTTGATTTTTTTTTTTTTGCCTCAAGATTGAGGCATTAAAAACACATACATGTTTTTTGTGTAATTTATGGATTACTATAAGATATTACTCTGCATACATCATTTCTTTGGCTGACTGAACGTAGATCTTGGGTCAGCCAGACAATAAAATTATGTATCAAAAGTAATGGAAAAGACCTCTGTTTGATAGATAATGTAACTGTTCTGTACAACTTGGAACTATACTGGTGTTGGCGTACATTTATTAAAGGCTATCTATGTGCTGACTGGCTTTGAAGTATTTCCTATTACTTTGTAAAGCTGTCCATTTCTGTAGGTGTCCGTCACATCGGGGTGACACTCTTGGTTTCAATCATGCGATCATACAGAGCTGGCCCGTTCGCATACTGAACTGCTCGTCGCCAGCGTGAGCGGCTGACTCCCCTTCTGGCTTTTTGGTCCAGTCCAGTCAGCATAATGGATAGGAGACGAAACTGGCATTTCAACAGCGAGATCATTACTTCTATTTTATTCATGATTGAACTAACTATTCCTATGATCACCTTGTTTTATGGTTTTCTTTTCTGAAAAGAGAGCAATAGCGTTCTTTCTCCAACTTGTTCAGATTTAAGTGAGATTTAAAATTAGTCATTTTCTCTGAAACAGAACTTTTCTTTGTCGTGATATTTGTTTTCAGTTCTTGAAATGTTCAGCTGCTCTTCTGTGCTTAGGATGGGTACAGCCCTTACACACCTGTAAATTTCTCCGGTAAACGTTCATGCTGCCGTCTTTCTCTTTGAACGATGCTCATCTGCAACTTGTCTTTCAGAGAAAGGGCTTCACGGAGCGTGGTTCTTCACTTTTACTAGTTGATCAAACTGGTTTTCTTTAAATGCTTACTGGAGAGGTTTGCAGCAGTTAAGATTTGTTAGTGCTATTAATTGAGACATGATGACAATGAGCACCCACCTCTTATCAGCCGTGCCTTGTTTTTTCCTGCAGATCTATTGGTTTAAAGATGGGAAGCAAATTTCTAAACGAAGTGATCACTACCGAATTCAAAGAGAACCTGATGGAACTTGCTCACTGCATACTGCAGCCTCCACCCTGGATGATGACGGGAATTACACTATTATGGCTGCTAACCCACAGGTAAATGAAGGTTTGGCTCCAGAGCAAACATGCTTCTGGACATAAATCTTCAGAAAACTATCTCATCTTACGTATGCATGATTTAATTAAATGATGAAGTCACCATAAAGTATGTAAGTTAGATTTCTGTTTTCATCTTGCATCAGTAGGGTGGGACCTTTCTATCTCCAAGAGATTAGCAACTCAACAGCAGTTTTTTTCCTCTGGTTTGAGGTTTCAGAGGGGACGGGGGTTGTTTTCTAATCACTTTTCCACCATTTGTTGCAGCTGATAACATCTCAGTATCCTAACTGAGCATGGATAGCATACATACTCCAAAGGGAGAAAAAAAAAATCCAGTTTACTAGCAGAAGTAACCCAATCCAGCAATTTCATTTTTCCTCTGTTGACACTACCCACTGACTGAGGCCAACTTTTTGAAATGAGTAGGAGTATATCACACCTCAACATGTTTACATTAAGCAGTGATTGCAATTCTGTAAGGCAAAAAATGCTAGCACTTGTCATGTAGGGGGGGAGGTCTCCTGTGTTGTTCCCGAAGTCTTAAACAATGTTTTTCCGAAACACAGAGTGTTACTGGGTTTGTAATATTATTTGTTCTTTGCAGACCTAATACAAGAGCTGAGGTACACGACAGAAACCCACTGGTGCGTTGGACGTGGCTAAACTTTACAGTTCACGCACCCTGTTGAAGAAACTTTCTTCAATCCACTTTTCCTACAGCACAGCAAAGTGAGGGGAAAGACTTGCATGTGAGAAACCAAGGCAGTAACATAACTTTAGGGATGTAACGAATTATTTTCTTCTGTAGCACCAAATATCTTGCCAAGACCAGGCCTGCAAGTAGAATCACACTGTAAAATAACAAACTGTATCGCTGAGACAGAGTTTAATCTAAACAGGCGTGTTGTGCTCTGTTATGAATGTTGCTAGGTTACTTAGCATGACACTGCCATTTTTGCCTCGCTCTTTGTCAGTGCTGCTCGTATTGCAGCGTGCTTGTTGAATGTATGGGATTGTACACACGGACGACACGCAAACGGCAGTTTTAGGCCAGATTCTACAAATTGCAGTGCTTAAATCTAGGTGGTTTAAGCGTTATTTCTCCATATACAAATAACAGATATAAAGAAATAGCATAAGGCCGAGGGAATTCTTCAAGCTGGGAGCTTTTACACATAGAGGACCATTGTGTTATAGCACCTGGTACCATTTAAATTGTGGAAATTCACAGCAGGTTTAAAGATGAGAAATAAATACTTACATGCTCAAGGTAGGAAGCAAATCCTGTTCATCTTCCTGTAAGTGCTGTGTTAGTGCACAGACAGAGCTTCCCTATGTAGCGTTACTGCGTGATCCAAAAATCTTAGAGAACTTGGTGAGTACGCTGCCTTTGTGCTTGGGCACTGTACTCTGTCCCTGAATATTTAGGGCCTGCTTTTTAGCATTTGTTTTTCTGGATAATGCTCAGTCAATGACACAACAGTGACCTAGGTTATCAGCTCTGGTCCTCGATGACAGTAGTGTGTTAATGGGTTTTCAGATGCACTAAAATGAGCTGGTTTTGTATTGTTCCTAGTTTGGGGATTGAAAAAGCAGTTTTGTTAAATGATAAAATTCTGCATCTGTCCTTTTTTTCCCCCTCTTTGGAGAAGAACCAGAAGCATCCTCCTCTGGCTCCCCTAAACAAACATCTGCCTGTTTCACCAAGCCCATTCTGTTCTTTCTTCACCGTGTAATTCCCAGGCAAACGCACTTATCTTTTCCACTATTGCTTGCTTTTACTACGCGTTTAACAGTGCAACGGAGGCAAAGGAGGGCTCTGAGTTAATGTACAAGCCTTTCACACTCAAAGATCTGGATTCCAATTGTTTTAAGTCATCCTGAGTGGAAATAATTCTGGCACAGCCTCCTCAATTCTAATGGAAAGTTGTCCACATCTCAAAGCTATCACAAACTTAGGCAAATTTGGCAACCTTTCCTTAAGAAAAGCGAAATACGACAGGAGCCTACATCAGGATTCTGAAGGACTGGCAGGTATTTACTAGGCTGTGTTTCGGTCATTGCTATTGGAACCACCAAGCTACCGAGCAAAAAGGTATATTCTTAGTTGATAGAAATTGATTTTATTAAAGCAAAGGATTCAGCTCATTAAAGCTCTGCCAGGTTATGCCATCTCGGCATCTGGACTAATATTACAAGATTTATGTGTGTAAAGTGACTTGGTGACACACCTTGGAAACCGTCCGCAGTAGTTAACACGGCATGCACCAGCGCCTGCGATGTAAAGTGCAGCCATCTGGAATTAAGGTTCCAACATGCCTCCGGGGTTTGCAGTAAAACTTGCCGTATAACTTAATGCGGCGCAGGCTGACCCCGGGCCTAGACAAACACAAAGCCTTGCCCGTTTTTGGCCTTTAGTTACAGGTTACGTCCCCTAACCGAGCTCTTCCCACGAGCTGTGTGTGTGGGCTCAAGTCAGGGCCTTATTGTCACCTTCTTTCCTTTTATCCCATTCTCTCCACTTCTTTGCACCATGCACCCGCAGTCTTCAGCCTGGATTGCCCTTATTTTCTAGGCCGTCTTCTCATGAATTACTTCCCACTCATCGCTTCCTTCCCATTCATCCCATGACTTGTCCAAATCTTTGGCTTCCTGCTTGTTCTTCCCTATCCAAATTCCTTACTGTCCTTTGTGTTTCCATTTGTGATGCCTTCATGTACTGAGATACGCAGAAATTATCCCAAAATGTGTGAATTCATCACCTGCCAGAAAAAGATTAATACGCGGTGGTGCCTAAAATAGAAATGTATTTGTTCCAGATGTCTTTCATGGTCTTGTAACACCAAAAAAAAAAAAAAAGCTTTGCTTCAGAAACTGCTGCAGGTCATGCCCAATGGCTTATTTTAACACAAGTATTTTTCTTGTGGACTAAATGGGTCATGGGAACAAAAGCGGGACGCAGCGACTTCATTTCTAATGGTCCAGCAGTAACACGAAGGTCATTGCCATTTGAAGGCTGCTTGTGACCCCGGTGAAATGGTTTTTCGGTGGGCTTTGGCCAGTTGGTAATGAATGGCTATTTGCAGCCCCCGAATTACTGTGACAAACATATTTGTTGCTTTCATGCTGGCAGGCTTGAGGGTGGCGCTCGCAGCTTAGAACTGAGATACGCTGCCACGCTGCTGTGGATGGTGCCTCGGGGCTACCAGTCCCAGGGGCAGAAAGGCAGATGCGCATCTTCTATACATTTATCAAAGAGCTATTTAAAACTATCATTTTTTCAAAAGCTTTTAAAATCATTACATTGCTATACAGAAGTATATAAACTTTTACTACAGTATTATTTTTATACGTAGTTTTTATATTCGTATCTGTTGTGTATATTTACTGATTCCGCCAGAGGCTTTGGCCCCTTACATGGTGAATTCCGCAGAGCCCTGGCCGCCGGCAGGCCCAGCCCAACTCTGTTACCACTCGTGCTTGTGGTGGGCAACCTGTCTTCTGAACAGCAAAGTGAAACAAAAAAGGGGACCAAAAACAACAGAGCCCACGGTTAACGTATCATTCACTGAAAATAGCCGAAGGCGGCCGAACCATCTCCAAGGTCCACCAGCGCAGTTGCGCGCTTCCGTGCGATTCCTCAGGCTCGCTCTGCGCAGAGGACCGGCTGAGTACTTGCACAATTCTGTTGGTTTTTACGGTCACAGGGGGGTTTTTTTGAGCTGTGGCCCCACCAGATCGAGCGGATCGATCCACCTGGGAGGCGACAGCTCTGGCATTAACTGCCAGCACTTACCAAGTGCCATTTTCAAGATCTTGAACTAGTTCCTGTCTTTCTGTCCGCTTGCCAGAGAGAGAGAGAAACCTCCCACCCACAGCCATAGCTCAGTCAATATACTGTTTTTCAGTCAATATACTGTTTTAAGGACTTTATTGCCTGTGCTACTGATAATCATTTTTTAAAAGAAAAACTTCCAGGAGGAACACTTTAACCGTGACTGTGTTTTAGTCACAATTATAAAAAAAACCAAACAAACCAGTCTGTTCTGTGTTAGATTGGAAGCTGACAAAATAGTTTAATATCAGAAGGCACCTTGACAAATGTTTTTCAATGACTGTGTGAAAGAAGAGATTGCCTTACAGACTCTGTAACACGTGGGCCAAAAAGGGGGAGCAGGTTGAACACGTACTAACATTGCATGCTTTGAGTCTTTTAATGCTCCTCCTCTCCATCACCACAACAGGGCAGAATAAGTTGCACGGGCAGGCTGATGGTTCAAGCTGTAAATCAAAGAGGCCGCAGTCCCTGGTCACCGTCTGGTCAGCCTCATATAAGAAGGTACTTGATGCTTCTTTTTTTTTTTTTTTTCCTTTTAATAATAATATGATGTGTGTTGCAAAGTTATTACGGAAAGATAAAGAATGTGAAGTAAGCTGGTAAGTTAAAAGTATGGCATTCGGGAAGAAATGTGACCTCTGCTGTCTAAAAATTCCTGCAAAGCTTGCATACTCAGAAGTATAAGCAATCTCTGAAATGACACAACTTCTAAGTATCTTTAATTTTGCCTGTCTCCTCTTCCTTTCTTCGTGATGGTCACTAATTACTCTTTATCTGAAATTACACTATCAGCTGTTGGGAACTTAAGTTTTTTTAAAACATCTCACCTGACCAGGCTTCTACCAGGAACCTGTATGTTCTGCAGCTTTTAATAAGTATTCATTTAAAGAAACAGCAGAAATAACTGCATGCCAAAGAAATTTATTAGATTTACATTAGAAATACCTTAGTATTTCAGTGATTTCAGTTCAGGTTCTTATAAGGAATTATGAGTCAGAAATAAAGTATTAAACTTATCTTTGGTGAGTTTACAATTATTCACATACGAAGCTTTGGTTTATGTTTTTGGACTATATAAGGGAATTTTCCCTTCAAATACTTTTCTTTTTTTATTACCCAACGCATTTATGGGGCAATTTAGCACAGCTTGGACAGCTGTAGACAATACCAAAAAAAAAAAAAAAAAAGTCATTTTGGTTACCCAAACTGCTTTCAAGGGAGCACGAGGGCTCCAGTTCCAGTTTCTGCTGTGATGAGGCACGTGTTTTGCTTAATGGTGACAATGGCCATAGAATCTCAATATTGCCCAATTGTAATATATAGACTAGATGTAATTAGTCAGTGGGCAATAAAGAAACGATTCCTGTAACAATTAGTAGTGGTAAGTCGTATGTGCTGTAGAACTGCTGCATGCAAAAATGGGCTCTCTCCCACCCCGCCCCGATAACTAGAAAGTACGAGGAAGCGAGGTTGGTTGTTTAAAAGACTTCATCAGTCTCATTCCCGCATGGAACAAACGGGGCTTCCCGCAGTCCTGAAAGCATTTCCCAGCATCCCGCACCGAGGCATCCTACCAGCTCCCCCTCTAATGCTTCACATTCAGGCCTGTTAAACCCAAAGCTCAGGCTGCTCGTGGAGGGGAATATCCTGCTCTCACTGCAGACTGAGAACAGCCCCAAAAAGCTGGGGCCCTTTGGCGTACGGTGCTTGATGCCCGCAAATCATGGGTAAAAAGGAAAAGTCCCTGTTAATTCCTGAAGGGAAAAGCTGCCGTGAAGAGTCAGGCTTTGGCTGAATTGGCGCACATGGGGTGAGAAAGGGGAAACATCTTGAAAACGGGGACAGGAGAAAGGAAGATGGGTACGGGCAAGAGAGCAGCTGACACTTCCGCATCTTCCTGAAGGATAAAATGCGGTCGCTCTTTCTGCGCCAGGCAGAACCCTGGGGGAGCAATGGGGGGGCTCATTTTTCAGTCTCTCCAAATGCAATCAAAGTCTGAGGCCACTTACACCCGGGTTTTTTATTTTCTAATTGAGGCAAGCACTCTGGCAGCCACTATTATTTTGGTTGGGTGTCCAGTAGGGTAATGAATGATAAATAAGAGATTTCCACACAGCGGTGTAATTAAAATTAGGGCAATTACGGGGGATTCTTATTTCCTGTAGAACTACCATATATGAAGGGCCCATCCTGCTGTCCAGTCCTCCCCGAGACCGATGAAATTTGAGCATGTAAAACCTTCCTAGGACAGACTCCCGCCATCGGCCTTTCTAATTGTCATGGTTTAACCTAACATAACGTACCACAATATTGGCCTCCCCCATCTACTACAGTATGTCACGTGTGTTGCCATATACTTTTGATAAGTAATATTCCTGTGGCATTACAATATTATTTCTATAAGCTTTTCTACTTGAGAGCAACAAAACTTCTTTTTTTTTTTTTTTTTTTTAACAAGTGTAATTATTAGCTTAATGAACTTTATGACTTGTTACACTGTTGACAGGCTTTTTCCTGAAGTATTTTTACTCTCTTACAGAATGGGTTCTGGCAGAACTCTGGTTTTTGTCATCTTAACTACGTCACAGACATTTTAAAACACTCTTTGTAGTTGTTATTTTATTTTTAATGTATTTTTCTCAAATTTGCTTGGCTTGCAAACACTCCCTTCTTAGCATTACTTTGCCGGGGGGGACACACATGACACTTTTGAACAGTCTGGCAAAGCTTGGGCTCAGTCCCTCCGACGACACGGTGCTCAACACTGCGGCACCTAAGCTGTCTTGTGGTGCACTGCAGCCAGAGCCCCAAATAAATCATCTTAAAATGCAGGAGACTTAAGGAAGATCTAAAAAAAAATAAATATTCCTCTTGCCCCTGCTCTCAGCGAGAGGATTAATTTGAACTTAAATCTCCTTTATCCCAAATTAGTGATCATTACCACATGGGTGGTCATAAAGTCTTCCCCAGCTTCTTGCTCGATGTAATTCCTAACGTGCTGCGCCGCACCAGCCCTTGGAGTCTCCCCTGGACACATTTGGCATGCGATGTCACTATTGCTGAAACTCCTCTTTGCAATTTGATGCCCACATCACAACTCTAAAGAACCCACAACTAATCCCGGGATATTCCAGTCTATTGCAACTTGTCATTCCTAGACATCTGAAGTACTTGGCTCAACTCGTTTCGTTATTTCTTTAAAACCACAAAATGTTTTAGAATTAAAGTATCCCTAGTTTCACCTCTCAAGGTAAAGGCTTAAAAGTAGCTTGCAATTTTAGAGGTAAATTTACAAAGAGGTAAAAAGAAATGCATTATTTATTTCTGACTCGCGTAAACAGCATGCTGATTTAGGTTTCTTTTCAAATGTGTGATTTGAAAACTTAGTTTTCACAGTTCAAGAACATACTATCAGAAGAAAACAACTTTGGCCACAAACTCCCAACCTTTTTGTTTTCCATTTCATTTGGTGCAAATTTTTTTCCCCCGGTTTTGACCAGCGCTGTCTTTTTATGCATCTAAACAGGATGCATGTAAAAACCAGGCAGGCAGATTTTTGCATGGGTTGCTTGCACTGCGTAGCACTCACGTGGCTAGATACCACCATTTCTAGTTGGCCTTGCAGAACTAATTACCAAAAGATAGGAGTGCACTTTTTCTGTATTACCATCCACCTTCCATCCCAGCTGCACGCATGAGGGGCACGTACGGCTGCAGAAACGGTCGGAACTCGCCAGCTAGAGCTCAGCCCTGCTTCTGAGCTGCAATGCAGGAGCCACCGAAGCAGCTGTAGGCACCAGGCAGCAACACCGCGCGGGTGCTTAAGGCCCGGACTCGGGCACCCGAAGGCTTACGTAAGCTTTTAGCCTGCGCAAAGGTGCCGGTCCGTGTTCCCATTTCGGTACCGTTCCTACATTAATAAGCACTATGGGCTAGATTTCCCCCCTCCCCACATTTGTCTTTAGTTATAGCTGTGGGAAGCCTGTGATGATCATTAAAAAAAAAAAAAAAAAATCAAAATTTCTCTATTTATGACAGCTAATACTGCAGCAAAAGTGATGATTGGTCAGAATTCAAACAGAGCAGTAATAGAGAGAAGGGCAACAACAGAGGACAAAAGAAACCACATTCAAGCAAGTCTAATTAATTAAACTTAACCTCAGTGGAACAGAGTGTGCAGCTAGAGCGCTTCCCCTCCATACAGCAGTACGGCATCTCGTTTTCCAAATGTAACTGCTTGGGGGGGGGGGGATGATAAGCTTTTTTTGGTTATGAATTATTTTAACCTAAAGAAACACCCCTGGGCAGTAGAAGATGCAGCATAGCCACGTATACTGCAGCACGTATGCTGCAGACACTGGCCAAAATGGGAACACTGGCAGAAGTTAACAGAAAATGGAATTCAAAAAGAGAATTTCACTGTAAAGCCTCATTGATAAAAGTTATCTAGGAGGAGATTTGAATAGCTCCTCTCTGCTGCAGCAGGATGTTACTGGAGGCAGCAGTTGGCTCCACAATGGAATCCATTGGAGCTGATCAGGCAAGGACAAAAAGTGATCTAAAATTTTGTTTCAGTTACAAGTTTCTTTGATTACTAAATCACACAAACGCAATAATGCTCATTTCAATTGGAAAAAAATCCAGTTAAATGAGGAACCACTTAGAAAAAGAGTCGATAGATTAAATTAACAGGCAAGAATAGCTAATGCTGAAAATGGATTAAATGATGTTGTGGAAGCTGAAGGCGACTGATACTGTTTCAGAGACAGGAGTTATTTTTCCTTCTTTTTATTTTTCATTACACTTCTTGCCGTACCTTTATGAAGAACAATTTAACGACCAAAGTTTTTCTTCCTATTGCTCACAAATGAAATTCTCATTGTTTTGACACCACAATTTGGTGGCTTTGAAAATGTTCCAGAATATCTCAAACAAAAAAAAACCTGTTAAATGAGGGATAAATATCCACCAATTTTCCTGTATGGTCTTCGGTAGTGCAGAACAAGAGAAGATGAAAAGTCAGTCTGATGTGAAAAGGCTCTTCTCAGCTGGGATGAGTTAGCTTTCAGCTGCTGTTATTTTCTGAAAGGTAAACAGAACAAAGGAACAGTACGTGCACCTTCCGGTGTAACTGGCAACAGCAAAGGGGTTACATATACGGGACACTAGAAACGGGGAACTGAAGCTATATGCTAAGACCAACTTATTTTACTTGTATTTCAGTGATTTAAAGACTAACTCTAACCAAAAATACTATCATGTATAAATGCAAGCAATTATTCTGTAGCAAGAGCGTTTTCTAGATCATATTTTGCCACAACATGTGAATTAACTGAAAGTAATTAATAATGACAGTGTCATAATTAACTCAGTCTGAGCCAAAGGCTACCAGTGTATGTGTGTAAACACGGAGTGATTACGGTATCGGTCAAAGAAGTGATTTAAAATTCAAAGCAGTCTTATAAGTGATTTTGGTTCTTCTGATTTGGCAGAGGAAAAAAAATAATTTACCTTTATTTCATATTATTTTAAGACCACGATCTCGATCAAGGGACAGTGGTGATGAAAATGAACCAATTCAGGAACGATTCTTCCGGCCTCATTTTCTGCAGGCTCCTGGAGACCTGACTGTTCAAGAAGGAAAACTGTGCAGAATGGACTGCAAGGCAAGTATCACGCAAAGGATAGCAGCGACCGGGCTAATGTTAGCTGACTCAAAACCCAAGTCAGTTTCTTTTGAAAGCTATTTTACCTATTGGCAGTTTCAGTGACTGTCGATAGGTTAATTAATCTCACCGCTTATGAGCAAGCAATAAAAGTTTGCCTCCGCTCCAATGAAAGTGCTTCAGGCAAAGTTTACAGCTCAGAGTAAACTGGTTTTTTAGAATTCAGCTGGGTTGGGGTGTGGAGGGAAGCAGCACACACCATAAAGACAGCGTGCTTCTCCATTTTAAGTCTTTTTACTAGAGTTTTGATCCCCTGTTAGTTTCAAACAATATAATCTTGATTTATGACTTTGCCTAACAGAATTAATTAAGGCTTGGATGACTGCTGTTTACTTTATGCTGATAGATTTGGGAGAAGCTATTTGTTTTCACGCAGTACCCGCAGCAAACGGCACGGCTTTCAAAAGTACAAGACTTGTTCACACAGACCAAGCTTTAACTAGTGCAGGCGGTGCTGTCACTAGGTTACACCTAAGTGGAATGGAACTCAGAGTTCAGTAATTAGTCAGCTAACATCTTTTTCTCTGCAAGCTTTCCGCAAGAAGTTAATCTAGGAAGGAGTACCTCCTCGTTCCAGTGAAGAACAAACAATAAAAAAAAAGACAAAAGGTGTCACCCTGCCTTTTGTTTTGCAAGGTATTATTATTTAGCTTTTAGCCTATCTAGACACTGATCTTTTTTCAGTCACGCCCGTAAGACATCATGGAATTCAGGGAGTTGGCCAGAAAGTAAGTAAATGAATACAACTGAGTCCATGTGCAATCCAGTACAGCATTAGATCTTTAAATCTCGTGGTACACCTGCAGTAGCAAACAAAACCAAACTTCTCTGAAGCAGCAAGTCCGGACTCCTCCCGCGTTTCGTACAGCTAAGACCATTTCCCATTGTTCTGTTTACGCTTCAGGTTAGTGGATTACCCACTCCAGATTTAAGCTGGCAACTTAATGGAAGGCCGATTCGTCCCGATAGTTCTCACAAAATGTTGGTGCGTGAGAATGGTGTGCACTCCTTGATCATCGAACCAGTCACAGCCAGAGATGCTGGAATCTACACGTGTATCGCCAGCAATCGAGCTGGTGAAAATACATTCAGCCTGGAGCTCATTGTTGCAGGTAACATCTTCACGCTAAGCTTCCACCCTCAGCACTGTAAGGATAACATGAAAAAGGAAAATGTAAGTGCCATCAGGTGAGAAGGTTGAGGGGCGGGGGGTAAGAGAAGGAAACCCGGCAGTAACAGAACTGTAGTATAGTTACAGGCGACACATTTGTGTTATCTTGTGACGTAAGTTGACTGGCAAGTAACCTCTGCGCGCACAGGTAAGAAGAGAAGGGCCGTCGCCGCGGCTGAGGCCACAAACCAGACTGTTGACTCAAACGGGGTTTTTGCTGGCAATTTGTGCAGACCCAGATCTACCACCGGGTAGCTGGTATGACGCGATTGGTGCGTTTCACAGCGTATTAGACTAGTGCCATTCCAGCCTCCTGGTAGAGCAGTTCCTTCTATAATTAAAAGCCCATCCTTTCATGGAGTATGAAGGAGCACTGTTTAACAAGCATCATGCAGCCAGTTTATTGGGCCTTCATACCCCACGGTTCAATTCTTTCAGGGAGGCAGGAGGGGAAACCACTCAGCTCTATTAGTGCTCGCTTATTCCTTATTAAAATACTGATGGGACCATTTTCTTCAGATGAACCAGGACTGGATGTTGTGATTCATGAAGACAACACTTAAGTTTCCTGCTACTTAGACTTGTCATTATTGGGTTTTGGCATATTGCTGAAAAAAAGGCTACGTTTGCACAGACTAGTGTCAACAGGACTGCAATCTTTATTTTCACAGCTAAGGAAGTACACAAAGCACCTGTGTTTATAGAGAAGCTACAAAACACAGGTGTGACCGAGGGATTCCCAGTGCGACTGGAGTGTCGAATCTCGGGGGAGCCGTCTCCTCAGATATTCTGGAAGAAAGAGAACGAGTCACTCACATACAACACTGACCGAGTGAGGTTAGACTGCCTTAGAATCATCTCCCCGTGTACAACTTCAACAATGATTTATCCTCTAACGTAAATGAAAACCTAGGTGGTCTTCAGAATGCTTTCTGTGAACAGTGGCTCATAAATACTACCTAGTTATTGTCATCATTTATGACACTTACTCAAATTTGCAGCCTGCCTGGTGGCCAAGCCAGAACTAAAATGTTGTTTTCCAGCCTTGGACTTAAACAACTATCTTTGCACTTTAAGCACATGGAGAAGTAGTTTTTCTCTTCTAGAACTAAGACTTACAGAAATTTACTGGTGAAAACCTAGGCTCCTAAGTAAAGCCATCTGCTTCTCAGCAGAAACCTTGATTTATAACTCTGCCGTGTAGTTAAGCAACTAAGATTCAAGGTTTTTTATATTCTAAGATCTATAAACTTGTCTTCAATATTTGATAATATTTTGTACGAGTGTTCAAAAGCAAACTCAGGCTATACTGCAAGAAAAGGAACTCATTACTGATACGGCACTGTAATAAATTATTGCTGTCTTCCTAAATAACTAAGTGTTTCACTACCTTGTTCCTCAAGTTTTTTATCCTTTCCCCAAAAGTCTGGGTAAGTTCTGGCATCGCTACTACTTAAATCAGATTTCCAGATGTCTTAATCCGTAATTGTGAAAGAGAAGTTACTTTACGCACTTATGCTTCTTAGTTTTCAATACAGGATATTAAACTGCCAAATTGTCAAGCATACTCAAGGTTTCTGATTTCAGAGGAAGTTCCATATTAATTAAAAGTGGACTATAATGAATCTGTAACTAGGATTGGGTCTCTTTACATTTAAAAATAGCCTATGCTGTTTTGCAATTGAAACAGTAATTTTCTACTTTTCTTTTGTTTAGCATGCACCAGGATAACTTCGGCTACATCTGCCTGCTTATTCAGGGAGCTACCAAGGAGGATGCTGGTTGGTACACCGTTTCAGCCAAGAATGAGGCTGGGATCGTGTCTTGCACTGCCAGGTTGGATGTTTACAGTAAGTGACTTCAATTTTCACGATCACATTAATCCCCCCAAAAGCAACAGTTCTACAATTTTCTGTTTATTCACAGAATGGTTTACATTGGTCTCTCTTTCTTTTGTTTATAGTTTGTCCTCAATAATAACGATCCACATCAAGACAACAAATGCTCTGTCAAAGTACATCTCACCATCTTGCAGTTATACCTAAAGCAAAACAAGCATGCATGCTTTCTGTTTTTGCTTAGTGTATTACATGTAGCTCATTAACAACAGATAACGGCATGATGACATTATTTTTGTGGATCATTATTACTATTGCTCTGCTAGCACTTCCCTAACCTTTAGTATTCTTTTGTACATTGGTCTGTAATACACCTGTGACAGCTACCAGAAGCTAGTAGATGTTTTTATGGCTTCCTGCTTAATTACTCAGTTTGTTCCAAAGCAGCCCCTTACCGAGTGAATGTTTTCTTAAACCAAAATCTCTTACCAGTCTTCTCATAACAAGAATTAAGGGGGGTAGGGAAGGGGGGAGACTGGAATGACAAAGGATGGTTTCTGGGATGGTGGTGGTGGCAGTGGGACTTGTGAATTAGAGCCTTGGCTCAGCATTCTTGAGCGTACAAGGGCTGGCAATGGCAACCAGATGATCTCCTTTTCTATACAACAACCAACCCTGGGACAGGCCTGGCATTCTAATATCAGTGCACAGAAACAACCGCCTTGCTCTTACCCTTCTCAGTGACACGAGGAAAGGTAGAAAGCAAAGCCAAAAAGGCAAAGTAACACACACAGACACTATTGTTTTTACTTACTGCATTTGAAGGCGAAACTAGATGCTGAGGAAAAGAAACAAAACAAAAAAAAAACCCATCAAGAAGTGAAACAAACTTACCTTTGACATAATGGTTTTCTGCTGCTCATAAATTAGTATCTCCTTTACAAAGGGTTGATTGTGCATCTGGCACACTTTGTTGCACAGCTCAAGGCGGCTAACATTTTTTCTTTGCTTTTTAATCTGCAGCTCAGTGGCAACAACCACCTCAGACAACCAAGCCAAAGAAGGTGCGGCCCTCAGCCAGCCGATACGCGGCACTTTGTGACCAAGGACTAGACATCAAAGCAGCTTTCCAGCCCGAAGCAAATCCAGTCCACCTGACGATGCAGTCTGGCTTGGTAGAGAGCGACGATCTGTAGATCCGGCGGCCGCGTCCATCATTTTCTTTCAAAGCAGAAACACTGAAAGCCATTGCCTTGACCAATGATACTCCTATGTCACTTTATGCAAAGGCAGACACCTTCGAGTACAAAAGATAAACAACAAACACAATAACCATATATTCCTTATTCATTATACCAAATTAGAAGACTAGATAGATTATTAATAGAAATGTACACATTGCACAACGAATCACATTCACCAGTTCCTTATACCTAAGTTGCTTCAGCTCTTACGAATAACCCTTTTCATAAAGGCCAAAATACATCAGAGAGACAGATTTCTCAGAAGAGAACACCAGCTATCACTACATGCCTTCATAAGCAGGAAGTAGATGCTACGCAACCTTAATGGTGCAAGATGGTTTATTTGAGGCCATTAGATCACACAGAAAATTAGAATGTATGGTTATCTATAGTTCCAAAACGGCAATGCATTCTGATAGCTACAATGAACAAGTGCAATATTGTAAGAATAAGACAGGAAGGGACAAGGAAGAGAGACGTAAGCAAATGCTGTATCTCTGCAAACTGCTTTCTACTCTACAATGAAAAAAATAACTTGCCTTAAATGCTGTTAGTACGGACAGTTCTGTAAAGCAACATCAACACCGTAATTTTAAATTCTTTTCTATTTTTCCTTTTTGCCATCTAGGAGGAGGCTTACTTACAGCAAAGACAGTTTAAGCATAAGTAATTTAACCTCTTCAAGATAACCAAGAAAAAGAGCTGACAGGTATTAACAGTCTGCTCCAGACAATAAATATTGGTAACTAGATGGGGAAAAAATGCCAACAGCATGAACCGCTGCAGGAGGTTCCTGCAAGGGGTGGGAGGGGGACAGGGCGAGAGGGTGAGACGCTCTACGGACTTCCTGAAGACATTCTGTAACCTCATAATACTCCCATTCAAGAATCTGAAATTCTAAGGTGAGCTGAAAACTAGGGAGTGTACGTATGGGATGTTCGACTGTTTAAAGCTTGTGTAACGTGGATGAGGATTTTAGGAATGTACAGTAAGTGAAAAATGGTTGAGACTGCAATATGAATTTAAATGACAAGTATACACCACAGATGAGAAGCTTGCAGATCTGAGGAGGTAGAAAATGAAGATGGACAAAAACAAGATCAAATTTGCGCCTTTGTCTTTTTTTCTTCTTCTTAACATAGCACGTGTCTCTGGTAGATTTTATTTTTTTCTTCTCCTGACTGTAGGCCAAGGACAGCTCTTTTAATGGGTAGAGTCTGTGCGCCGTAGATGAAAAGCCTGAAGGCTACTTTCAGAATGCAAGGCAAAGCCACATCAAACTGGAGCCCCACCTACGTCAGACCTGACTAGGTAGTTTTAAATTGGAACCAAATGAATTTCAGATGAAGGGGAGGGAGGGATGGAAGAATTACTGGGCCTGACAAGAAAAATGAGCATTTGATGGTACGAGCTACGATACTTTGCTATGAAAGGAAAACACTGTATTCCTTATATGAAGCACATATATGGTATCTTTCATTATTTATAATAAAAGTGTTGAAATCCTTTATCTCAGTTCAGTTATTCAGAAGTCCTGTACTTAGGGTTTTTTTTTTTTAATTTTGTAATTGTGTACACCATATATTGCATTACTGCTATACGTGTATTGCTTTGTAAGTACACAAAGTTTGTTTTGTTTTTTAGTGACTAATAAACTTTAGCACATAAGGTAGTACTATTCTGGTGCAGGATATGACCAGTTATGGGGATCGTTAATCTAGATTAACGTCATAGTCTGTCATCTGGGAAGAATCTGACCCTATTCTAGAACAAGGATGTCATATCATTTGCCAAATTTGTCCTCGACTGTGACATGTTAATTTACTTTTTTCTTTAGCTTCACTAGCATTATTTTGCCACCTTTTATTTGTATTTATAAAAAAAATGTATTATCATTACTTTGGATTGTTGTGCTGATATAATGTGGGTTTAACATCAATAAATATTACACAAATAGAAAGTTATCCTTCTGGTAAAGACTATTAACTGTTTCGGTAGAAGCATGCAAGCGTAAGATTTAGAAATTTTAAATATTATGAATACAGATGAAATGACAGCTCTGTGCAGCATCTAAAAATGGCTAGAATTCATCAGAATATTCTGCTTTGTGACCTGGAATATTGTTTAAACAAAACAGAGGAACACGACCCATAAATTCCAAGAAACTTTTGACAAATAAAAGTACTTGAAGATGCTTTTTATTAATAGGTTAGAAAATATGTAGGTCTATTTTGTGTGTCTAGTAATTGCAGTATCGCTTACAACGATGTCTAAGTAAAGGGCATGGTCCAAGTGCTGTTAAATTTAAGAAGAGTCTTCTAACAAGGCAATATGAAAATTTAAAAACCAACATGTTAAGATTTACTTGTAAAATCCTGAATATTAACTAGCTGCTCCACCTTTCCTTTTTGTGCAAAGATACCAGGAAAGATGCAGGATAATAAATTTTTTCTTTTAGGTTTACATTTCAAGCATTGATCACTACAAACAGAATTATCTCAGCAATTAAGTGAGTACTGACATTCCGGGTGATACTGCAACTGAAGTCAATGGAGTTCTGTCTGCTTACAGTAAATTTGTCTTTGGCTTAGAGACGAAAAAACTGAGACCGCTCTCATGAGCTGGTTTAAGATGAGGTCATCATCACTTTCTGCCTCTGTATATATGTACAGACACACACTTAAGTAGTAAATCACATCTCTAAGCAGCAAAGTTGTTTTCATGAAAACATTCAGCTGTGCCGTTACTTAGTTACTGGGACTGTTTGGGTTTACAAATGCAGAGATACAAGCGTGGCACAAGAAAAACGACATACTTTTCAAGCCAAAAATCTGAGATTCTTGGAAGCATCAAAGTAACTTTCAGAAGTTTAATCTCCCTCCACAAACTCCAAAGATAGATAGTGTGACCAGAAAGTGTACTTTTGTCATTTTATAGGACTAAAAAGGCAAGTCCTAACTTTTTGTAAGGCTTCAGGCTTAGCTATGGGAAGACTTCAAGTTCTTTAGGAAGCTGATCAGTCCAAGCGTACTCAAAGCAGTCAAAGACTCAATGCAGCCACATTCAGGATGACAACAGAACCTCTGTCAAGAGCACCATGTGCAAGATTCCACATGCATCAAGGTGTTCTCAGCTGGCGGTCTACCTTAACACACAGTGCCTTTATCCTGCAACTTCACAGCCACAGCAACTATTAGTTAACGTACACAGTCTTTTTCCATCACAGCCAACTAGGGGTTGGGGATCAAAACCAAACTACGGTGCAATTTGAAACCCTAGCTTATAAATAATAGTTTCTTTCTATATGACCACTTTCAAAGACCGCTTTGATTCACTTAGGTTGTATGCTAATGAATGCCTTGATTCCCCACATATGGACAACTACATCCTTATCTCTGCAAGCAGCCCAAACGGATTTAATATGTAAGTAAGTACTTCGTGAGATCACATTATCCATCACGTCATGATGCTGAGGGGATCAGCTGCATGCTCTGGCTGTACGACCCAGCTGCCAAACCCACACTGTGTAGTATAGATCGATTAATGCATGGACTGGAAATGCCTGCTCAGACTATGCATGTTGACAACAGACCAGACTGACTGCCTCACAATTCAGCTGTACGTGCAAGGGGCAGATTTTGCTGACATTTAGCTCCTTCTCCTGAACTGGCTAAATGAAAAAGCCCTCCCCCTGCACAGTTCCTCTGTTTGAACAGAACCATGAGCATGTAAGACACATCAGGCAGGTGAAGACACAGCTCCCGCCCCAAGAAATTTACAATCTATTCCAGACAGCACACGGTATTCTTTAACGTGTCTTAAAGCTTGCAACTCTAATTCAGACTTAAGCCACAATTTGCATCCTTTTACAAAAGCGATGAATACATAAAATAACCTCATACTGCACCAAATGTCTAATCAAAATGTCACTGTTTGGAACACAATGCTCAACCCACGCTTAGAGCAAAAGAGCCAGGCTACAAGCAACAGTACCTGTACAGCAGTGATTTCAGCAGCTATCCAGAGGCGGAAGATGAAAGAACTTCAGTCCAACACCACCAGGAAGGAGAAATTTTTTGCTTAGAACAACTGCAGTGCAACAGGTAAACCCTGGGGAAGGGCAAAGTCTTGCAACTGCTGTCACTTTCTAGTTCTGCAGTAGCATAAGCGGTCCAGAAACAGCTGCCGAACAAGAATGGAGACAGAAAGTAACAGCACATGGCCACTACTCAGAATGATTACATCATTTACAGCAGGAGCTCTACAAATCGCACTGAATGGATTAGGTTTGGTTCCCCCCCCCCCCCGAAACTGTTCTGTTAAACACACAACTAAACATATCGTCAAGCTTTTTGTTGGCTGATTCTTGGCCCAGACATCACAGAGTATTTCTACAAAGGAGAACGGATGGTACAAAAATACCTTGCCAACGACAGGACTTTTCCAAGCTACTGCAAAAGGTGTTGAAAAATGCCTTGTAAGACTAGACTTCCCATCCAACCGGCAACACACCTCTACTCTTGCAGGTTAAGAACTAGTGGATTTTGGAGATGGCTTTTACCTGTAGCGTTTGTCTGAGCAACTCCTGGAGTCATTTGTAGGAAAGGGCCTGTCTAAAAGAAAACCGCTTTTACCACACTATTCTACACTATGATGCACAATTCTATTTATTAACATATTAACTCATTTCCTCCTACAATACTTCAGAATCAGATTCACCGAACATTTTTGTAATTTACTGTTAATCTAAAATAGAAGTTTTATCTTTCTTACATTCTGTATAACAATCTCTGATCATTTACTAGTTCATGTTTAATAAATGAAAACCAAAGAATTACATTTGATTTTCAATCAGCACAACTGTTAGTAAATCCAAAGATCTTGAACTGTACGTGAATGATGTCATTGCAGGTATGGAACAGCAGCAGCTTTCAAGAATTTCAGTTGAATTCAGTCAGAATTTCAAATTTTCAGAACTTCAAGAAAGTTCCAGATCCACTTTCCCCTAGGAAAAAAAGTGTAATTATGTAATGTAGGTCTCCAAATCTAAAATAGGCTGTTAGTTGTTTCCCTTGAAGTCCTGTATTTGAAAAGCATAACAGAGTTAAAAATCTTAATAGAAGAATGAATGAACTTATTTTAAAATTATTTTTAAGCTTTTCCTGAGCAGCAAATCCTTTAAATGACCAACTTCATAAAAGCAGAACAAAGTTTTCATTTGTGATTATTAGTGTTTTCTTGCAAAATATAAAAATGGTTATAAGACATGGCACAGCTACTGCTAGTAACTGTCATTCTGAAGAAATGGATTTCAGGTCAGCCTATACATCCTAAAAGCAGAGATGGAGTGTCACAGTGTTCCCAATCACTAATTCCAAGGACTAGGACATCAGTGATCTGTCTTTGCCCAGAGCAAGTGGCATCCAAGCCTAAGGTGAAGCCAAAAGAACACAGCACCTTAAGTGGGGGAAAAAAATGTTGATGATCAGTGCATTTCCACTGCTCTCGCTTCAGAGCTCAG